TAATCATAATCTCTGGGGCCTGGGCTTTGGTATTGAAAGTTCCCTGGGGAGTTCTAGTATCCAGCAGTGGACTTGGGGAGAACTTGGATGCAGCCTGTCATTGTTCCATAAGCGTAGGAAAGCTCTCACAAAGAGAGCTTTGAGGAACATTCTCCTCAAAAAATAATTGACCATTTCAGGGGGTGAAGTGTGTCTTCAAGAGGGTGTCTACCCATTAGACTAATACCTTGACTTTGTGAGAGGAGGTTGCTCAAATAAAAGCCATGGATGTTCTGAGCCCTTAGGTCATCCAGGCTACTCTGACTAAAATATAGAGTCACCGTATTCGTTTGCTAGGGCTGTCTTAACAAAGCACTGCAGACTGGGTGGCTTAAGCAACAGAAACATTTCCTCATAGTTCTGGAGGCTAGAAGTGCAAGATCAAGGTGTCAACAGGGTTTGTTTCTTCTGAGGTCACTCTCCTTGGCTTATAGATACCCGTGTTCTCCACATGTCTTCACATGCTCTTCCCTCTGTATGTGTCTGTTTCCCAATGTCTTATAAGGACACTGGTTTTTTAGTTTGTTTTCTATTGCTATAATAAAATACCTGAGACTGGGTAATTTATAATGAAAAGAGGTTTATTTAGCTCATGGTTCTGCAGGCTGGGAAGTTCAAGATTGGGCAGCTGCACCTGGTGGCTTCTGGTGAGGGTCTCCTGCTGTGTCAAAACGTGGTGGAGAAACGGCATGAGGGCCAGGAGCCCGTGAAAAGGGAAAAACAAAAGAGGCAACCTCACTTTATAACAATCCACTCTTGTGGGCACTAATCCAGCCCAAGGAGATCAAGAACCCTCTCTCGTAAGACTGCATTAATCCCTTCATGCAGGTGGATCCCTCACGACCCAGATGCCTGGTAAAAGTACCATCTCCCAGTGCTGCCACGTTTGGGGACCAAGGCTCAACATGAGTTTTGGTGGAGACATACTATAGTCAAACCATAGAACCAGCTATATGGCAGTAGGAACCATCCCAATGACCTCATTGAACCTTAATTACCTCTTTAAAAAAAAACTCATTTCTACAAACACAGTCACATTCTGAGGTACTGGGAGTTAGAACTTCAACAAATGCATTTAGGGGGAGACAATTCATCCCATAACCATTACCTACAAGGGTGGCTTGCAGAGGGGGGTGTCTTTTTTGAGATGGAGCCACAGCTGTTCCTGTGGACCATATTGCAGGTTTTTAACCATCCTCCCAGGCTGAGATGTTTGGCTGCTCCCTCCCCACACGGCTGGGCTTCTGGGATTTTGCGAGGCCCCGTCCTCCACCAAGCTTCCAAGCCAGGCCAGCCCAGTAATGAGCTAGTCTCAGCTGTTTGGGGTTATGGTGTTTTGAGGATGCCATCAGTGCTGGGTTCCTTGAGGCAGTGTGTCCAGGTCTCAACATGGTGAGTGGTTTCTGAGTGTAAGTGGGGTTGGTGAAGTCACTCGCAGCCAGGTACCAGGGGACATAGACACAGGTTAGTGTTAGTGTGCACCCTGTCCGCCTTGCTGGAAATAACCGTTCTGGCAGCTGAGCTAGCATTGGGGTAAAATGCTGTCATAGTCTTTTTGAGAAGATTTGTTTGGTTGTTCATTTGTGGAAAAGTGTGGGTGGAACCCCTAGCTATTAAAATCTGGCAATCACCTTGATTGACCAGGGTGGGGGCCTATTTTAGAACTTGTGTATTGAAGAAGTCCCAGCTGGGCAAAATTCCATTTCAGGTCTTGAACACATTTCCTAGGCAGTCTAGAGTCTCTGTACTGAGGGCTGATGTTTCTGGGCCGGAAGGGCTGGCACACGGCCTGTCATTGTTTGTTGAGTATGGATGAGGTCATCATCGAGGAAGAGTCCTTCTCCACTCTGAGCTGATTCACTCAGATACCCAGTCACTGTTTCTGTGCTTGCTGTGTGACCTTGGTCAAGAGTTTGACCTCCGTGAGCAATGTTACCACGAAACATGGAGACAATAATACTTTTCTAATAAGGGTAGCATTATGGAGGAATCCAGGGGATATTGGGAGGTGCACATCATGGTGGTTAAGCACAAAAGACCTGGATCCTAGCCTAGATTTGCTCTTTATGATTTGTTTAGATAAGTTTTTTTGTTTGTTTTCATTTTTGTGTTCATTTGTAAAATGGGTACAGTTCTATAGGGCCTACTTAGAGGATGGTTGTGATCAAATGAGATAAGGCTACCAAAGCACTTAGCACAGTGTCTGTGACATATAAATACTCACTTAGTTATTTCATTACCAAGGCAGGTACTGAGTTGACTGGTGAAATTAGAGGCTCAAAGGGAGTGTGAACAGACTTGGGCCCTCAGTACTTGGGTACTTCATCTCAGTTGTACTTTACTGTGTAGCCAGCAGGTGGCGACATTGACCGCATCTTGGCACTGCTGGCCTCCATCTTAGCGGTCCAGCCCCCTGGGGTGTCAGTGCTCAGTTGCTACACTTGTGTTGTCCCTTGCAAGAGATGGGTTTCCATAAACAACCAGAGCCAGTTGAGTGACTGGATGCGCTTGCCTGCAGATTATTCCAGTGCCAGAGATTCCCTCCTGGCCTTTCTGGAGAGCAGTAGCCACTCTTGGCTTTCATGTCCAGTGCTGCACATTCCTTGCTGAGGGCTCAGTTGCCACCTGCCTGATGCAGGCTCGCCATGCAGCCAGGGTGGTGTGGACTGAAGCTGGGGGTGAGCTCAAGGACTCTGGTTAGCATTTCTTAACTACTACTGCATTGCTGGGCTAGCTCACCTAAACTGAGAGGGTGGCTCCGAACAAAGTCGTGTTGTTTGGCTTCTGTATAAGAACCTACAGGTCCAGTGTTGCATCCAGAGTCTGAGAGGCCATGGCCCAGTGAACATCCAGAAACAGCCAAGTCAAAGTGGTAATAGCATAAAAGTGAACATGTTGTTGAGTAGCTGAATCCCTAAAGAGTGGGCTGAGAGCAATTTCAGAGTCAGCAATTCATGTCTGTGGCCCAGGGTGGGGACAGGTGGTGGACCATGCATTAGCCTCCCCCGACCTGCAGTGCTTCAGAGGTACATGAAATGAAGGATAAAATGGAGAAGCCAGGTTAGAGGAAGGGTTAGGATGCATAAAAGTGTGAATTAAAAAAAAATTCTATTGAACTGGCATGATTTAAATGTATTGACTTAAGTGAATACGTCTGTTGATTTAAAAAATGCGGGTTAGTCTTTTGCCTATGTTACTTGACATGAAATACGTAACCTCCTGTGGTTCCGATAATGTACCACGAGGTGGCGCCAGTGTCAAAAACTGGCTTATCCACTTAAGCAAATTATGGGGACACTTTTAAAGTCCCAAATTATATAACCATGTGATGGGAAACTGGCAGAGTTCTTCAGTAAAATCTCACTAAATTGCCCGTATTTTCTTATTTTGCTGGTTTTTTAGGAAACTGAGGGCCAGAAAGGTGACCATTTTTGCACGCTTTGGTAGAACTCAACTTGTGTAACCTGACATGGAAATTATTTAATTTATATGTTCAGTTCAGTTAATTCTTAACTCTGGAATTTTTTCTCAAGAAGTTACTTTCTTTTATTTAGTAGAAATTTTACGTAAGTGATGGGAGATTTAAAGGTTTTCATTGAGAGGGGCTTTTTTTTTTTTTTTTTTTTTCTTTGAGACAGTCTCAAACCTCTACCTGTTGCCCCAGGTAGAGTGCAGTGGCATCACTCAGGCTAGCTCACAGCAACCTCAAACTCCTGGGCTCAAAGGATCTTCCTGCCTCAGCATCCTAAGTAGCTGGGACTACAGGCCTGCACCAGGATGCCTGGCTAATTTTTCTATTTTTAGTAGAGAAGGGTCTCCAAACTCCTGAGCTCAAGCCATCTCCCCACTTAGGCCTCCCAGAGTGCTAAGATTACGGGTGTGAGCCACTGTGTGTGGCCTTCATTCAGAGTTTAATACAAAAAAAGAAAAAGACACTCGGGTGACTGTCCATTAAGTTTCTGGTAAAGTGTCATGTCTCTGGCCTGTGACTGATGAAATGCTTTCTCCTTTAAGAAATATCAGGCCAGAGAAAGTTTCCCAGTGATTTCAGTGATTCAACTTTTAGTGTTAACAGTTTAGTTAATATTTATGTATCTTTGTAATTGTTCTTGTTTGTGTTTCTTGGTCATTGTTTAGTTTAGATTAACTGTTAGAGGGTAGTACTGGGTTTCTTTAATGCAGATTAACCCCTGAAGACAAAGACTTTCAAGATAATCTATGAAAAATGCAATATAACACTTGAGCTTAAAAAATTATGACTACTTTTGAATTACTTGTTTATACTTATGTAGATCTCTGAATTTACTGTATTTGCAGTATACATAAATATACTATATATGTTTACTGTATGTAAACATGAATTTGCATACATATCTGAATCATGATTTGATTTCATAAATATATGTGAGAGTGAGTTCTCATGCATTCCCTTCCAGGTCTGTAATTCCAGTGGCATAAGAAAGAGGATTTCTCGTTTCTTTATTAAAAGGGGTAGTGAGAAGTCATTACCAAATGGATGTACCTAATATTTTATATCCCAGTATCTTTTGAACATTCTTTATTTCATAGTCCCATAGATTTGGTGGAGAAAATAAAATCTGTTAGAAAGTACTTTCCACAACCACATTTGCTGACTTTCAGGTTTCATTTTCTAACTCAAGCTAAAGTACTCTTCTGTGCCTATTTGTAATTCGAACAGTTTGAAATAAATGTGATATAGTCCAAAAAGGTGGCCTACGTTTTGATTTTTTTTTTTTTTTGAAAAAAAGGCAAGTTTCAAATGTTTTCTGATTGTTGTTTAGTAATTTTCGGATTTTTAAAAAAACAACTAGGGCTTAGCAGAAATACAGATGAGCATATGAGTATGAAGAAAAAATGAATTTGCTTAAAATAATTTTGTTTCTAATAAAACATGACCAAAAATGATAAAAATCTTTTTTCTCCATCTTTTTCTCCTATAGATTGGAATAATAGGTGGAACAGGCCTGGATGATCCAGAAATTCTAGAAGCAAGAACTGAAAAATATGTGGATACTCCATTTGGCAAGGTTAATAACCAATTAGTGGGGACATGTTTGCTTTCCTGTTTCTCCTTGCTGGCTTGGTTTTTAAGTCAAAAACAAATTGCTTGTTTGTGTATTTCTTTTAGCTCAGGGCCATCTGCTGCAGACAGAGAGAGCCGGGAGTCCTGCTCCTGACGTTGGGCTCCGTCAGCTGGGAAGGCGTCCGTAGGACGCCTCGGACTTCACCATTCTGAGAACATGGCTTGAACAATCACTCTCAAATTCTGTTGCTAGAAGCCAGACGCTCATTTCACACATAGCAACTTTCGTATTCAAATCAGCTTCTAATTTGGGGCCAGTAGGTCACACCACAGAATTGCAGTGGTCCCCAACCTTTTTGGCACCAGGGACCGGTTTCACAGAAGACAGTTCTTCCACGGACCCAGGGGTGTGGTGGGGCGTGCAGATCTCAGGTGGTGATGCATGGCCCATTTCCCAACAAGCTACGGACTGGTACTGGGCAGCTGCCCGGGGGTTGGGGACCGCAGATTTAGAGGACAGTCTGATGACTAATAAGATGAAGTATCATCACAAAGTGGCATTTGAGTGAGCATTCTGAGTGAGCCCTGGCTCAAAGGAGGATTATCTGGGGAATCCAGAATACAGTTGACATTACTTAAATGCATAACTGAACTGGAAGTAAGACAGTCTTCCTTTTCTAGGAGAGGCTGCTAGTTCTCCAAGCCCCTGCGCCACCCAGCCTAGGCCAGGGTGAGGATGTCTACCTTCTCCTAATTCCATATTGCTACTTCCTGATGTAGCTCTTCTGATCTTCCTGTGAGATCTCTGCATCTGGCCTTTCCAACCAAACCCTCCTTTTCAGCCAAGTTCTTAGGTTGACCTCGTGTCCTCTAAGTCCTGCTATGATCTTGTCGGCCCACTTTCCTGACCTCCTTGATTCTGAGGGCCTTTTAAGCCTCCTTTGCCTCACATCATTCCGTGGCCATCTCAGACCTGGTTAACACAAGCAGACAGGTCCCATGCTGAGTTCTTAAGTGCACCACAGTGGCCTCTTATCCTTTCTGCCTTTCACACTCACACCTGTTCTTAAACCTGCCAAATACCCTTGATACATCTAAATTTGACCAGTCTACCATCAGAGTCCCCTGGGGTACTTGCTACAAACAAATCTTACTGGATGGTACCCACATGGGCACCCAAGGCAAGCTTCTGAGTCCTGTGAATCTCCATGCCTGTAGAGAGCTTGGTAAATATTGATCAGATGATCATGTCGATATCAAATAATAGCCTTTTCTGTAAGTTGTATCCATGAACTCCACGTTTCCTTGAATCCAGTTGTAGCTGAACAGTTTTAATTGCTTACATACATGTTTTCAAATTCCTGAGTTAAAATATAACCATTTTTCATTGTACGCAGCCATCTGATGCCTTAATTTTGGGGAAGATAAAAAATGTTGATTGCGTCCTCCTTGCAAGGTATGTTTTCTTGTTTGTTTGTTTGAGCTTTCTGATTGTTACTACTAGAGGAGCATTTAACTTTAATTTTGGAAAGAGGAATCATACAGGTGTGAGTTTTTATGTGTTGGTGTAGTTAGACCATCTTAGTCACCTTTATTTACCATGTGTGGTTTTGGGTAAGTTATTGACTTAAGAGATCAAAGATCTTCATGCCTCCACCTTGGACTGGAAAACTAGATCAGGTATCTAAGGTTGAAACTCTGGTTTTAGTCCCAGCTACAAGAAGAAATGTTTCCTTTTTTCCTTTCTAATTATCAAGATAAAGAAAAACAGTGCTTCATTCATGACCCCCTATTAGTAGTAGTTGTGTATTTGTGGAAAGTGGGTTACTTGTACTGTCTACACCATTGTTTTCTTGACGAGGCTAGTGCTGCTCCATTATAATAGAGGAGGCAAAAGCATTTTTTATCACATAGTTACAAATCAGTCAAACTATATGTGTTAGTTTTCTATTGCTGAGTAACAAATTACTGCAAACTTTGCAGCTTAAAATAGCACACATATGTCACAGTTTCTGTGGCCCAGGAGTCTGGCACAGCTTAGTTGGGTCCTCTGCTCGGGGTCACACAGTGTATACTCAAGGGCTGTGTTCTCACCTTGTTCAGGCTTATGTGGTTGTGGCAGAATTCCGTCATCATGGTGGCAGGACCCTCACGGTTGCAGGACTGAGGCCTTCAGCTCTTAGAGGAGGTCCCCATTCCCTGCCACATGGGCGTTTTCACAGGCAGTGCACGCAGTAGCAACTCGCTTCTGCAAAGCTGGTAGGAGACTCGTGTGCCTGCTAGCAAGGTAGGGCCTACTGGAGGGAGTGACTTCCAGCGCCTTTGCCATATTCTAACGGTTAGAAGCAAGTCTTGGGTTCGCCCACACTTTTTATACAGGGCATAAAAACAAGGACCATGCTAGGATCTGTCACCCTATATTTTAAAAATGGAAGTGGCTTCTTAGAATCCACCAAATCTAAAGATGGTCAATGGGGTGGGTTTCAGGAGACCTCCTTCGTTGGTCTGTGATCATTGCTACAAAGTCACTTAATTTTTTTCTAGGCCCTAGGAGGAAACGGTGGTGTGGTACGCACTTGCCTACCATTTCTCCTCTCCTTCTCTTAGGCACGGGAGGCAGCACACCATTGTGCCTTCCAAAGTCAACTACCAGGCGAACATCTGGGCTTTGAAGGAAGAGGGCTGTACACATGTCATAGTGACCACAGCGTGCGGCTCCCTGAGGGAGGAGATTCAGCCCGGTGATATGGTTATCATCGATCAGTTCATCGACAGGTGAGCAGCATCTAAAATGCTTTAGGCCCTTGGAGCTGGTTGCTCCCAGCTCAAATGGATGATATATGGGAACCAGGGGAAGAAGGGGAGGGCAGGGCCACAGACTTCCTTTAAGCTTTTTATTGTGAATGTTTTTGTTTTTATTTTTTAATTGACAAATAATAATTGTGTATTTTTATATATGTATACATTGTGTGATTTTTCAGGCTAATTAATATATCACCTTGGGTGCTTACCATCTTTGATGGTGAGAACATTTGATTATTACTTTCCTAGCAACTTCGAAATATATAATACATTGTTACTAACTGTAATCACCGTGCTGTACAATAGATCTCAAAAACTTACTCCTCCTAACTGAAATTTTGTGTCGTTTGATCACTGTCTCCTCACCTTCCCCTGGTAACCACCATTCTACTCTTTACCTCTATAAGTTCGACTTCTTTAATTCCACAAAGAGGAGAGCTCTTGCAGTATTTGTCTTTCTGTGACTGGCTTATTTCTCTGGACATATCCTCCAGGTTTGTTCATGTTGTCACAATTGACAGAACTTCCTTCTTTAAGGCTAAATAGTATTCCATTGTACAGATATTCCACATTTTCTTTGTCCACTCATCTGTTGGTGAGCATTTAGGTTGCGTCCACATATTGGCTGTTATGAGTAATGCTGCAGTGAACATGGGAGTGTGGATATCTCTTTGACATGCTCATTTCCTCTCCTTTGGATGTATATGCAGAAGTGAGATTGCTGAGTCGTAGAGTGATTCAGTTTTAATTTTTTTTTTTTTTGAGGAAACTCCATACTGTCTTCCAAAATGGCTATACTAATTTATATTCCCACAAACGGTGTATAAGTGTTCCCTTTTGTCCGCATCTTCACCTACACTTGTTCTTCATCTTTTTGATAATAGCCCATTCCGACAGGCGTGCTATCTCACTGTGGCTTTAATTTTCATTTCCCTGATGATTGATGGTGCTGAACAGTCTTCATATAACTGTTGGCCATTTGTGTGTCTTTTGAGAAATGTCTGTCCAAGTCCTTTGCCCATTTTTTAATCAGATCATTTGTTTTCTTGCTATTTAGTTATGTTCCTTATATATTTTGGATATTAACCCCTTATCAGATATATACTTTGTAGATATTTTTTTCCCAACCTATAGATTGTCTCTTTGTATCATGGGAGTTTTTAAACATATGCACAATAGAATAATCATGAACTCTGAAGTTCCTAATTCTCTGCTTTAACATGTATCAGTTCACTGCAATATGTAACTTAAAAGATAAGGACATTTTTATTTTTAATAAAAGGATAAACTAATATTTTCTTGGTATTATATATCTAGGCATATATAATTTTCTCTATTGCCTCATGAACTTTTTTTTGTTTTTACAATCAATTTATTCAAATAAGGGTTCAGAGAAGATCTCTCATTACACACATGCACTTTAATAAGCCGTCTAGTCTGGAGGATTCTACCCTCTTTGGCCTTTTTTGTTTTGGCTTATAGCACCTCCCCACATCCTGAGTCTTACTGATTGCATCCTTAGGTGTCATTTAGTGTCGTCCCATCCCCCTAGCCCCGGAGACCTGCACAGAACCAAGTTTGAATTCTTGGCAGGAATCCTTCCTGCTGCATCATATCAGGGTCATGTAATGTCTGGTTTTCTCTTCACGGTGTGATTGATTAGGTGGCTCAGGTGCTGGGGTTTTTGTCATTTAATGGCACAAGTAATGTTCCCTTACCAAAAAAGTCAAACAGTAACAGACTGCCAATTTCTTGGGCCTCTCCTGTGTTTAGAAGTAGTTGAAGAACTCACAGGGGAAAGTGATGGTCTCTAGAATCTCTCCCTTGTCCCGCTCTTGGTAGAAATAACTGCCTTTCAGTTGCTCTGGATGGAGACAAGAGCCTACTGGGTAAGAAGGCGGGAGGAGTAAGTACTGTAGTTAAACCATTTGGTGGCTCCTCTCTCAGTCCCCCATCCAGTCACCCTAACTAGCACCTCAGTCCATCCTGCTCCTCCCTCTGATCTTAATACATCCAAAGGCTGCTTCTGCCTCTGCTGTGGGAGAGAGGGTTATCCAGGCCAGTTCTGTGTGTATTCTGTCTTTCAGAGACTCATACAGTTTCTGGTCCATCACAAACATTTTTGACTATTTCTTGATGGAATGAAACTATTATGAAATTGTTCATTCCATAGGTCAGAAATGGCTGAATATCAGCAGTTTCATGGGGTTCAACCTAATAAATAGTGGGGATTGAACTAAAATTGTTACATGCTCCTCAACCTGCCTTTATCCCCTATAATTTATTTGTACACTATATATTTATTATTAATATCTTTCTTCTAGAGCAGCAGTCCCCAACCTTGTGCATTTTTACACTGTAACTGTAATGTGTAATGAAATAATTATACAACTCACCATAATGCAACCTCTCTGCTGCTGACGATCTGTATGTGCAGCCGCTCCCCGGCGCTAGCATCACCGCCTCAGCTCCACCTCAGACCACCTAGGCACACAACCTAGATCTCTCGCATGTGCAGTTCACAGTGGGGTTCCTGCTCCTACGAGAATCTAATGCTGCTGCTGATCTCACAGGAAGCAGAGCTCAGGCAGTGATGCCAGTGATGGGGAGTGGCTGTAAATACAGATGCAGCTCTGCTCACTCACCCAGCACTCACCTCCTGTGCAGCCCAGTTCCTAACAGACCACCAGGGGCCAGTACTGTCCTTGGCCTGGGGGTTGGGGACCACAGCTCTAGAGTACAAGCCATGTGAGGACAGAGACCCTCTTTGTACCTTATCACAACATTGCCTGACCCATATTTGCTCAGTCAGTATTTTTTTTGAATGATTTAATAGGCATTCAAAGCAAAGGGTAGGCTATTGGTTTGTGTTTAGGAAACATCTTGATCAAAATCTCTAGGGCTGTCAAAGTCCATGTGTTTTTGGAGATCATGACTTAAGGAAGTGATTATAATATTGTTTAATAAAGCAGAATATAAAAACTCTGTATTCAGAATGATCCACATTTATAAAGTGGTATAGATAATACTGGAAAGAAAAGTCGGAATTGGGCAGTCAACCTAGGATTACTTTGTTACTTATGTGGTATAACAATACATTACTTTTCCCAGATCAAAACTCAACATGTTGGCCAGGCGTGGTGGCTCACGCCTGTAATCCTAGCACTCTGGGAGGCCGAGGCGGGCAGATTGCTGGAGGTCAGGAGTTCAAAATCAGCCTGAGCAAGAAGGAGACCCCCGTCTCTACTATAAATAGAAAGTAATTGGCCAACTAATATATATAGAAAAAATTAGCAGGGCATGGTGGCGCATGCCTGTAGTCCCAGCTACTCGGAAGGCTGAGGCAGCAGGATTGCTTGAGCCCAGGAGTTTGAGGTTGCTGTGAGCTAGGCTGACACCATGGCACTCACTCTAGCCTGGGCAACAAAGTGAGACTCTGTCTCAAAAAAAAAAAAAAAAACTCAACATGTTGTAAATATAGATGTTTCACATACTGGCTCTTGCAAGAAAGCAGTTTGGCCAGAAAGATGGTAACTAGTAAGACAATAGGTATTGCTATTAGATCAGGTTTCATTCTGTATTGGTTCTTAGCCATGCAACCATAAAATCTTCCAGTATCTGTTTTGTTTTTATAAGCCAAGTGGATAACCTGCCTTCCTTTTTTTTTTTAATTTTTGAGAAAAGTTCATACTCTGTTGTCTAGGCTAGAGTGCAGTGGGCTGATCATAGCTCACTGCAACCTCATACTCCTGCCCTCAAGCGATCCTCCCATCTTGGCCTCCCGAAGTGCCAGGATTATAGGCGTGAGCCACTATGCCCAGCTAACTTGCCTTCATAATGTTTCCTTGGAAAAGTTAAAAGTCTCTAACCAAGTACCTTTTACGGAGTCGAGCATGTGTTAACATGCTGAGGAACTGGGTGCCATTATTGAGAGTGTGGGCTGGAGGCTCCAGTGGTTAACAGGAGGAAGGAACTGTTAAAAGGATCCCCAAGGAAATATCATTTAGCATAAAATGTCAATTTGATTACATATTACAGTGATTTTGGGATATATTAGGTTAGATAAGATTTTAAAGTCAATTTTATCTGTTTCTTTTTTACTTTTTTAATGTGACTACTAGAAATTTTAAAATTGTGTATGCGGTTCACATCATTTTGTTGTCAGATGCATCTTCTAAATGATACTGTCCCTGGTTGAGCTGAATGGCTTCCAGTTAACCAGCCTTGGGTATCACGTAAATGATTTACCATGTGTTTGAATGTCTCAGAGGGCAAGAGAATCAGAACTTTTTTACTTTGTGGCCACTACCCTATACATGTCCTGATGGCACATTTCTTAATAGAGTGAATCTTGGTATGTTGAGGCAGGCACCTGATACCTCCTTTCACTTGATGGTGTCACCAGGCACAAATGGTCAGCTAAGGGCTGTGCTATTTTTAGTCTGAGGTTACCAGACCCATACCCACTGCCTCAACTTGTTTGACAGAACTGTAACATTCTGTGAAGCTGGCCAGTAGATTATAGAACTCCAGGGCAGAGGCAGGAGCACTTGATCAGGAGGTTTCATCTTGGCTCTGTTTGGCTTTGGGCAAATCACTTCACCCACCTGCATGTCGGTTCCTTCTTCAAAATAGAGGATTGAACTTTACGCAGCACTGCCTGCGTGTCCTCTTTAGGGGCTGATCTAGAAACATACACTTGACCTATTGCCGAAACTTTGCCAGCGTATTGTCTCAGAGAAAACATCCTCATCCTAAAGTGGTCTTCAAAGGCTGGAGAGATTGTTTAACATTATGACTATTTTTATCTTATAGGTAGCAGAACTTAAAGCATGTTGTTTTCCCAGTGCTCAGCGTAAGGGGGTGGGAAGGAACCAACCCCGTCTGTACCATGTGATGCACACCTTAGAGCGCGTTTAGATTTAAGAGTGACAGGTGGCTCCGATTTTTAAGGCTGTTTTTAGAAACATCAT